GACTATGTAACTCTGTCAACAGAAAATACTCTTAGACTCGAGAATATATAGACAATATTTCTTTGATAGGTGACAGAATGAGGGAAAAAAGTTAGAATATTTGACTAGAAATAGTGAAGGAAAACTCCATTCAAACTACTCTAAAGAGTAGTTTAGTACTCTAAAGGAAGAAAACAGTTATACTTAAATAGATCAAGTAAAATTTAAATATAACACACTTGGAATAGTAGAGATGTACAGTTTAATCTAGCTATATCTAGGCCTTACCAACCTAACCTCTTAATATATGTCCTTGATCTAATCCTTTCCTGTCCTTTCCAGAAGATTGCACCCTCCACCATCCCCTCACTCTCTCTTTAGGTATGGATTCCTTCCCTACTGCCTAACAGATTCAAGTTCTATGTGGAGGTTCATGAACAGTTTTTGACAATTAGAAAATAATTAAATTAGTTGCAATGACATAAATATTATCATGAAATGTATCCAAGTGATCCTTAAAGTATAGTCTTACATTCCATAAATATATGACTATTTTTTATTTTGATAACTGTTGTAATCTTAAAATTCAGTTTCATTTACTGAAAAAAATAACTAAATTGAAATAACTTTAATGTGACTTTTAAATGTTTCCTATAAAATGAGGTACCACAGAAACCATGACAGATTGGGTAGATTACTGGGTCTGGAATTAGGAAATCCTGGATTCAAATTCCACATTAGATACCTAATAGCTGGGCAAGTCAGTTACTTAATCCTGGGCAAGTTAGTTAATGTCTCTAAGCCTAAGCTTCATCTTTCACAAAATGGGAATAAAAGTAGCATCTATTTCTTAGGGTGGTTGAGAGATTCAAATGAGAATAATGTATGTAAAAACCTTTGAAAGCCTCAAAACACTATACAAATGACAGCTATTACTATCATTAACTTAAAATGAAGATGAGCCTAATAAATAAAAAAGCTACCAAAGGTAAACCATGTAATAACTGAAAAAGAATAGCTTTGTTTCATAACTAAAGAGTAAGTTATAAAACTGAATTGTCTTTCTCCAACTAAACTAAAGGATAGATAATAAATAAATAGATGGATGGAGGGAGGGGAGAAGGGCGAGAGAGAAATATCTATGTATTTATATATATGTAGAGATATATCTACACATACACATGTATATATGTATACATATATATACACACACATACATACATACACACACATTTGGAAAAGGAACTTCATGAGGTTTTTATTACTCTTTCAGGATCAACTACCCAAAATATAGGAAATTTTTAAACTTTTTCAATATAAAAGTGCCACCTGCCTATAAATGATGTTCTGTTTTTGCAAGAACTGCAGGACAAACAACAAATTTTCAATTTATGCAGGCCCACACCTGAAAGTCATCACCAATTATGACAAAGATGTTGGCAGAAGAAAAATAAAGCCCATTATAGTGGGCAGCCTTTTCTTCCACAGTTGTAATATTTCATCTGGAAATAGTCCTTTGAATTAAGTTCACCCAAAGCCACAAAAACACATGGCAATGATATAGACTTTTGACTTGTTCTTTTTAAAATAAGTTTATTTAGTTTCCCTACTTGGCTTTATTTTTTCATAAAACTGAGGATATGTCACATCCATCAACTTCTAAATTATAGGGCAAAGTAGGCATCACTTCCATAACCACGTAGGTACCAGCAGACATTCAATACATGTCTGTTGATGGATTGATTAAAATGCAAAGATACTTTCCGTGGTTTAATCAAGTAACCAATTTATAAAGGAGTTGTGTTCCAAAAGTTAATTTGTAAGCTGGCTGTTTGGTACTCAGTACATATTTTCTCATAAGGAAAAAAAAAAGTTATATATGATGACTAAGTTCCTGGGCCAACTCATAAAAATCTATATAACCTACAAAGTAGATGAAATATTGCACATTTGTACAAAATACTAGAAAACAACACTGTTGAAATGCTGATGAGTAAATAAGATAGAAAAAAAGGAGGCAAATGGAAAACTGCAGAGATTCTAAAGGAGCACTTTGGGCACTTTAAAGAGATTAAAAAAAAAGGCAATTTAAAGATCATCAGATCTAATCCCCTAATTTTACAGAGGAAGAAACTTAACTAAAAAAGACTTAAGCGACTTACCCAAGGCTCCACAAATAAGCAGCAGAACTAGGACTTGAACACAGGTCCTCTGACTATGTGCCTTTTACTATGCTGAAAAGCAAGTTCACTTTAAATACAATAGCTTTCCTTTTCTTTAATAGACAGCTGTGGTCCTGCTTTTAGATTCACTGGCTTGACTCATATGAGCAAGGGCTGGCAGAAAGAACAGGAAAAGTTAAGTGTATTCAAGGGGTCTGTGACAACATGTAACAACATGTTTTGAGATTTAATTAACTAAAAGTTCTAAATAGCCAAAGAGAGACAAAAAAATGGTGATGCACTGAGCATAGTTCTAGCACTATCTTAAGCATCTGGACACATAAGTGGGGGGAAATAGGAAGGTTAGGAGTTGCTTTTGGGGGTGGGATTTGGAAAGGAAGTGAAGAGGCTACAAAGCAGAGGGAAACAATGTGCAACTGATCATTTTTATGTCTGAGGTCAGCTGCACAAATGAGGTATTTATTTGTATGTTAGGTGTTTATAACCTGGTAAGTCCCTCTATATATTCCTGCCCTTGTCTATATGACACACACAATATTAAGTAATAAGATAAATTTAAATATATGAAAATACTGTATTTCACCCAAAAAACAGCTATAACGTTTCATGGCTGAAATGATTTCAGTATTATAAAATCTGACAGCAATAAGAACATGTAGCAATGTGGAAATTTTAAGTAAACAATGTCTATGTGAATTGAAAGTGCATGTTACTTATTACCACCATGTTCCATCTGCATAAAGTTAAGCATAAAGTAAACGTTCATTTTTTTAGACACCATTAATTAAGAATTTGTTACCACTGGACCTGGGCTCAATTAAAGCAAACTGTGGCATTCTCTAAGAAGAAATGTTTGCTAAATCAATAAGTAGCATAAAGACAATAAGTAATGTGAGGGTTATGTTCGACCTATTCAATAGGAAAAAAATGAATTAAAAATAGATAACACATATTGAAGAGGGAAAAACATCTTGAAAGGCTTGAACACTGTATTAAATCTAATGAAATTCTATAAGGATAAATATAGATGAAATTCAATGAGGATAAATATAAAAACTTATTCATGGCTCAAAAAATCAACTTCATAAGTACAGAATGGAAAAAAAGAAATAGAGATATGGAGGTTATAATAGTCTAAACTCAATAGGAGTCATCCCTGTGACATGACAGTCAAAAAATTTATTGCAGTCTTAGGCAGCATTAGGGGAGGCATAGTTTCTGGGAATGAGGGCTTTATAGTTACTGGCTACACTGCCTTACTTGGACCACATATGGAGTACTTTCTTCTTCAATTCTGGGCACTACAGTTTGACACTAATAAAAAGTGTGTCCAAAAGAGATGAACCAAGAGAATGAAAGACCTGGAGTCTATGTCATAAAAAGATTGCTTAAAGGAACTGGGGGCGTTCAGCGAGGTAGAAATAAAACTTGGAGGGAGAAGGAAGAAGATTTGATAGCTGCCTTTAAGTCAAAGGGCTATTATATGAAAGAGAACTTAGACTTGATGAATTTGTCCCCAGATGGCAGAAATAGAAGCAATGGGAGAAGTTGTGTGTGTGTATACACACACACAATTTCTACCCATTGCTTCTGTTTGTGTATATAAGTGTGTGTGTGTGTGTGTGTATATAAATATATATATATATACCCATATATATATATATATATATATATATATACACACACATACAGACACACAGAGAAAGAGAGAGAGAGAGAGAGATGTATATCCTCTATTAAATTCTTACTCTGACTCCTCATTGTAAAGTAGAGGTAACCTTGGGTACCTAAAGGCACTTTCCTGGAAAGGCTTTTCTTGGTCCAGAGATGGAACCAGATCTGTGCTGTCCATAGAGCAGTCTAACTTAGTTGTATATGTTCCCAAATAGAGTAAGGACATTTTAAGTCATGTAATCCTCAGAGACAATCCCAAATAGAGTAAGGACATTTTAAGTCATGTAATCCTCAGAGACAATCTATTAATTCATAGAGGACTAAGGGAGTGTGATCTTTGTTGCTCAATTTAGTTCCAATATAAAATGTCACTAATAATTTATATTTCTACAGGAAACTTGAACTAGACTCCATTCACAATAGGCTTCATACTTACATGAGCATCCAGAGATTTAAAACAAAACAAAAAAAACCAAGCCAGTTTCTGGCAGGTTGCCCAACTTAATAGAAAAACATTTAAACATTTTAAACATCAGCTTATTTAACTTTGTTTCTATTTCAGTGTTTTCTAACTAACTCTATATGCTAAGAAAATTATCTTCACTTCTGCTAGATTATGCTTGATATTTATTTTATAGCATTTTGTGGTTTAATTTAAAGAAGGAAACAAAATATGACAATTTAAATAACAATTAAAGCTGTTCTTTGATGCTTTTTCATCAACTTGCTCACACATGTTCTGACTCTACTCTAATTAAATGCATACAACTTCTAAGCCGACTTCAACAAAGCTACTCCATCACACAAATAGCTATAAAATATCTGGAACTATCATGAAGAATATCACTGATAAAAAATAATCACTTAATTTCTTCACAATAGCTCTAACAGTAAATTCTGTCCCTTGACGGAATATACATAAAAATACTTTTTTAAAAAAATACAGTATTAGTATTAAATGTTGATAAAATTACTAAAATAATTTTCACAAACCCTTGACGAGGCTTTTTGAGGTAATATTTTTAACTGTAATTCTGAAATTAGTGTTTATGAGCCTTATGTTCTGATCACAATATGCTACTTGCTTTCTATAGTCAATGTAATTAATTCTAGTTGAGAGTTTTGACATTTTATCATGAGGAATATCATGAAAATTTTACTTACAGAAACATCTTTCAGGCTTTTTTCATAGGAGAAATGGCAATTCTCTTCAGAAAAATCAAACTTGTACACATTCGCTGGATCTGTTCCCAGCACCAATGCTTTTCTGAGTTCATCAACATACTTGTCTCTTTCCATTGCCATGTCATCAGCTTCCCTGGAAATCTCAGATGCAGTCACTATGGGAAAATATTAGTGTTTTTTTTTAAAGGTTCAAAGCAAAATTCTAACTAGAGAAAATATGTATTTATCTGCTGAAATACACTTTTCACTACTAGAACTAGCAGATAATTTAAATTTAGAAAATCAATTCCCAACTCATTTAAAAATTATTTTATAGTAACACAATCACCCCATTTAATATAATTATTTTACATCTTCCCTCATTGGCAAGCCATTCAGTTTCCTGTAAAAAAAAGATTATTGTGGATTATGAAGCACCTTAGTGGAGCAAGATTTAAAGAAAATTAAAATACCTATATATAACTGAAACTCATAGGATCATATCTGAAAGGAACCTTAAAGGTCACCTAATCTAATCATCTCATTTTAAAGATGAAGAAACTGAAGTCCAGAGAAATTAATCTAAGTTGTTCAAGGTAACAGTGGTAGGAAGATTCAGAGCCTAGATATAAGACATCAGAATCTAGATATTCTTTTTTTTTTTTTTGGCTAGGCAATGGAGTTAAGTGAATTGCCCAGGGTCACACAGCTAGTAAGTGTTATGTGTCTGAGGCCAGATTTGAACTTAGGTTCTCCTGAATCCAGGGCTAGTGCTCTATCCACTGCACCACCTAGCTGCCCCTAAATCTAGATATTCTAATGCCAGAATCAACAATTCTAGTAACCCAACCTGCCTCTCTAAGTATTTAGCAAGGTAATCTATACAAATTGTTACAAAGCTCAATCTAGTGAAGATTCTTCCTAACACTGAACCAAAATATTTCTTTCTTTAACTTGTATCCATTGTCCTAGCTCTTTTTCCTATTGTGAAAATAAGGACAGAAATATTTTACTCCATCTTCTACATGACTTCTCTCCTAGTAAAAAAAAATGTCAACTTGTCCATTCCCTCAACTGTTCCTAATCTTCTACGCTTTCAGACTACTTGCCATCTTGGTCACTCTCCTTTGTTTATATTCTAATTTGTTCTATCATCATCATTATCATTATTATTTTAAAGACTGGGCTTTCCTAGAGAGAAAGTACTCACAGTCCCAAATCCGCTACTGATCAGCACAGAAGTTCTGACCTGCTCTATTTTCAATCTGGGTTAAATCAAACAGGCTGCCTGAGGAGGCAATCTCATGACCCCCTCACCCTTGGAGGCTCACCATATTGGTGCCACACTTAATGCTAATACCCAATCAGCTTAACCCATTTCAGTTCAAAGTACCAGAGCTCAAGCAACCCACCAGCCACAGTCTCCTCTAGAGGCAGGATTACAGAGGCCCACCACCATGTCAGGCCAATTTCTTTCCAAATAAGTGATTTTCAGAATTGAACACAATAGTACAGATGTGTTAGTCCTACTGCAGAATACAATGAAATTATTCCCTGCTTTCAGCTAGAATGCACATCTTACTGTAGATGCAACATAAGTACACAATTTGCTGGTACAGAAGACATGTGACCTTCGTTGAACCTAGATATAGGACTTGAATTCACCTCTTTTATTTATTTATACATTAAATTTCATCTTGTTCATTTCAGTCCTATGTTTCAGCCTATCGTGCTGGTCATCTGTTACAAGAGATAAGCAGTAACCTTTCTATGCACCAGCAATTTCAGTGACTAAAACCAATACAAAGGAAGCAGTGAAATCCAACAGGGACACAGATGTAACACACGATTTGTATATAGGAGATAAGCAAGACAAAATGATTGAAAAAGGGAAAGGTTCATAGAAAGGCAAAAGCCAAAAATGTACCCTGATGATAAGAGGTAAGCAAAAAAGGAATAGATCTTAAACTTTATCCTGAATATCTACATGCAACTGACACAGAACAGATAAGTGCTTAACCTAAGAACATAAAGAAAATCTGCATCAGTCAAAAAAAATTAGCTTTCCCATCTTACTAGAGATATTTGATAGTATCATTTCATTTTTTAAAAAATCATTAATTTGAAAAGTATTTGGCCCACTGAAATCTACCACAAAATTTCTCACTAAGACTGAAAACTTCTCTAAGAGAATACACATGTGGAAGATTTATTATTTAATGATGAGGAGGTTAATGAGTTTATGTTTATGCTGTTTAGGAGAAGGGTATCATAAGTTGTATTGCTACTGTTGACATTCTCATCAAAGCCATATAATAATCTATGGGTCTTTATGATCATATGATATCAATTACCAAACAACTTTAAGTTAACACAGTGCTAATGCATTTGAGAAAGAAGTGATAAACTCCCACCACCAAATACCAGTAAAACTCCAAGAATATAGATTAAATACATTTATTGTTAATGAAAACTAATCACTGAATTTAGTGGATCAGAAATTAAAAGGGACTCTTCAAATCTTCTTCACATTGGCAAAGTTGACAAACAAGAAAATGAGAAATGTTGGAATTGCTAAGAGAAAACAGGCACATTAATTCACTGTTGGTAGAACAGTGTTGGTAGAGCCATTTTGGAAAACATTTTAGAACTATGCCTAAAAAATTACTAAATTCTGTGTGTCCTTTGACAAAGCAACACCACTACTAGGTCTATAGACTAAAAAATCAAAGATTTACAAAAAGGACTCATATGTATGAAAATAATTAAGAACAATGTTGTTGTTGTTTGTCCTTCATGCTTGAAGACAACCAGGACATCAGGGAGGTGATGCCATAACACGCAAGTGAATTGGATTTAAGTGAGAGATTGCTGTGCAAAGTCACCAACCTTATTCTCTTCTCCAGAGACATCTGAGTCCAGTGGCAAGATATAGATCAGGATGACTAGAGATGGCCCCTGCAGTGCCAAAGAACAAGAAACTAAGGGGATACCCATAAATTGGGAAACGGCTGAACAAATTATTTCATATGAATGTAACAGAACATAATTACATCATAAGAAATAATAAAAGAAATGGTGCCAGAGAAACCTGGGAAGATCTGTATGAATTAATTCAGAATGAAGTGAGCAGAAGCAGAAAACAATTTATACAATAACAACAACACCGTACATAAAAACAACTTTGAAAGACCAAAGAGCTCTGATCAACGTAACGGTCAACCACAATTCTAAAAGGCCATTAATGAAGAATGCCACTCCAGACAGAAAGATGATGGATTCAAGATTCAGCATGAGAAACATAATTTTAATATAATCAATGTGGGAATTGTTTTGCTTGACTATGCATTTTGTTTTTAATTTTTTCTAGTGGGATGGAAAAATAAGGATAGAAAATAAACACATTTTAATTAAAAATAAAAATTTTTAAATTAAAAGGGTGTAAATTTCCAGAGACAGGGACTAGCACAGTGCCTGGCACATAGTACCTTTTTCTTAATAAACGCTTGCTGATTATTTGATTTTTCAACCTTTTTCTTTCAAATTTACATTTACTAATATATCAAAAGAAGACCATGCCAATGCAACCAAGATTAGGAAGGAAGCAAAAGAATAGGAAAGAATTTTTACAACCAGTGTCTCTGATAAAGGCTTCATTTCTAAAATATATAGAAATTTGGGTCAAATTTATAAGAATACAAGTCATTCCCCAATGGATAAATGGTCAAAGGATATGAACAGGCAGCTATCTATAGTTATATGAAAAAATGCTCTAAATCACTATTGATAGAGAAATGCAAATCAAAACAACTCAGAGGTACCACATCACACCTATCAGATTGGCTAACATGACAAAACAGAAAAATGATAAATGCTGGAGAAAATGTGGGGAAATTGTTACACTAATGCATTGTTAGTGGAGTTGTGAACTGATCCAACCATTCTGGAGAACAATTTGGAACTATGCCCAAAGGGCTATAAAAATATGTATACCCTATGACCCAGCAATAGCACTTCTAGGATCTGTATCCCAAAGAGATCATACAAATGGAAAAAGGACCCACACATACAAAAATATTTGTAGCAGCTCTTTTGTGGTGGCCAAGAATTGGACATTGAGGGGATGCTCATCAATTGGGGAATGGCTGAACAAGTTGTGATATATGAATGTAATAGAATACTACTGTGCTACAAGAAATGATAGCAAGCAGACTTCAGAAAAACCTGGAAAGACTTGTATGAACTGATGCTGAGTGAAGTGAGCAGAACCAGGAAAACATTGTACATAATAACAGCCACATTGTGTGATAACTAACTTTGATAGACTTAGCCCTTCGCAGCAATGCAAGGATCTAAGACATCTCCAAAAGTCTCGTGATGGAAAATGTTATCCACAAAGATCAAAAGAAATAATAATTATAAAGTGCTTAGCACTGTGTCTGGAACATAATAAATGCTATATAAATGCTAGTTATTGTTGTCGTTACCAACTATAAATCAAGATCAATGTCAAACCTCATGTTCGATCTTTCTACACTAACTATGAATGTTGACAATATACTGTTTTGCACATAGAATTTTTTACGAGAAACATTTATGAAGTATATTATAATGGTTTTCTATTTAGTAAAAACTAAATATTTATGCTCATGGACTTCTTCAGACACTACTCTCTTCCCCCAAGCACTAACCAAACAGAATAACAAGAGCAACTGACACATATACTGCTTTAAAGTCTGCCAGGTCTTTTACATACATTATCCTAAGTCCCTACCTCACTGCTGCATGGCCCTGCACAGAGAAGAGAGACACCCTCCACTTAAGACTGGACTAAAGCAAGGGAGATGTGTTCCGAGCATCACATCTGGACATCCCCATTGGAGACCGGAACTCATTGTGCCACATGGAAGCAATGGGTTACAGTAGTATTATTAGCATTATGGCTCAGCTTCAGTGGAGGTGAGAGAGAGAATCTCTCTAATGTTTCTAATATTCTTTCTATAAGAAAATTCCTTTGGAATTCCAAGCAACCAAGTTACAAATAGACTTCTGGGAGGTGGGGGAACAATCCTGTCTCATTTATGAGAATGTACAGAATGACATTTTTACAGATTAGTGTGATTATCTACCAGGGGTGGGGAACCTGCGGCCTCAAGGCCTCATGTAGCCTGGTCCTCAAGTACAGTCCTTTAACTGAATCCAAACCTCAGAGAACAAATCCCCTTAATAAAAGGATTTGTACTGTAAAACTTGGACTCAGTCAAAAGGCCAAACCCAAGTACCTAGAAGGCCATATGTGGCCTTGAGGCCACAGGTTCCCCATCTGTTTCTATACTGTAACAGTGAAATTTAGGGAAAAATGCATAAATAGCATCTGAATTCCTACAAGTGCCAAGGAAGCTTTTTTTGGTGAAATGTTGATGTACATAAAAGTTATTAAAATAAAAATTAATTATCCTATGTCATTTATCAATCAACAAGTATTTATTAAGTAACTCATGTGCCAGGATGTTATTCACAAGATTAAATTAGAAAAATACCTTTCAGATAATGAATCAACATCTCAAGCATCTATAAATTTGGCTAGGTAGATACTTCCTCCCATAAGGCAGACTAGAAACCATCTACAACTCAGGAGATGAAAAATTCCGTCCTAGCTCTTACCTGGAGTCTTCCTCCAATGTCAAATTCAATATCACAGCCTGTTCAGACAAGACTAAGAGATCTAGGCCACCTATGTTCTGAAGAGAAAAACCCCATGCTCACCAAACACACATATGTTGATGTGAAAAGGGAGACACAACTAGATAAATGTATATGGAGTCCATCAATGAGCAGAGATAGGATTACCTAGAAGAGGAAACAGCAATAATCTAGATTTCTTGCTCAAGAAGTGCTACCTTAAGCAGAAGACAGAGAAGAGCTGGGGTACTCTCAGCTCAAGAGTCATAGACATGGGCTGGATACTGCCCCTCCAGGAAGTTTTACTGTGGATGGGAAAAACCCAAGTACACCCACACTGACTGAACAGATGTATTTACTTATAATTTTTTTAATAGCATAATTAAAGAATCATATACAGCTAAAATGTATAAATAACATCAATTGGTCATGAGTCTCTCTAAATTTAGCTAGGCTGGTTCTCAGAGGACAGACAGATGGCCTTTCTACCTCATTAGTCCTGCTAGAGTTTTCACCCATTGGTTTGGCTTTTTAAAGCCCACAGTCACCTCTATGCCTTGCTGAGGCTCCACAGTAGGACTGCAGTGGAGGGATGAATCAATGAATCTAAGTATTCCTAAAGATTTTATAAAGGTTTTAGAAATACTAGACAACTCTTTTAAAATACTGAAGTCTTTGCTAATAATTGGGTTAACATATCCATTTGTTTAAAAGAAATCAAAGTAAAAATTGTTTCAAGTCCATTTTATACAAAAATGACCACAATTCCTTAAATTAGCCTGGATTTTGTATCATGCTTCTTGATTAGAAAAGAATATGACAAATGTCAAAGACTCAAGCCAAAAAAGGAAAACATATTAGTAGTTTCCTGTAAAGAGAACATTTACTGAAAATATAGCTAATGATGTCTAGAGGCCTGAATCCCAGAGCAAAAAAAATGTTTCTTGGAGAGTATAGTTAGTATCATTTTCATCTTCTGTCATAAAATACAGACAACAGCATCAAACAAATGTTTCATTTACAAATAAAAATAATTAAATTATGCAGCATTTCTCTTGTTTGAGAATCATAAAAGCTTAGGCTATCATTAAGGTACTGAAAACTAGTTTAAACTTGAATATTTGCTTTTGTTATTACCTGCTCCACTCCATGCTGACTGGCCATCTGTAAGAGTTATGTCAAAACCAGAACCTAGATCTTTTTCCCAAGATACTTGCAGAAAATAAATTATGCTGGGTTCAGAAACCATATGAATTCTGCTCACATTCCGCTCCATTCTTTATTTACCTATTATGGAAAAAGAGAATAATCATTTAAATTAGTCTTTCTGTTCTCAAGGATTCTGTGCTTACTAAAAAGGAAAAAAAAATCCAACAACCTCACCGTTAAAATGGATTTGGCTAAATTATGACACTACTTATCCAACAATTTCAACTATCCAGAATATAGCTGAGAAATAGAAAACCCAAAACGTGGCTAAGATAGAGAGCACAAAGTCCACACTCATAGCAGAGCACCAAAGGCCATTTAGAACCCATTTACTTTTATTTTGCACAAAATTCTACAAAGCTTAATTATCTGGTTTTTCAAGTCCACAGCAAATTTGAAGCCAGAAGAAGGCCTCCTGGTAATTTATGTACTAATAGAAGCAAGAAATAACAGTTCATGTGAAAAAGGCAGGAAAAAAACCCTAAACATTGCGTTCTAGAGCATGGGTTAAGTGACTCAAAATGCTCCCACTGGATGTAAGGAAATCACTATACTATAGCACAATACCACTGAAGATTATGATCAGCACAATCTATCTATTTAAAAAGTTTTTTTTTAAATGTGAAAGGTATGTTTAATTTCTATCAAAAATCATTTTTACTTAGTTTTTATGAGACGGGGGTGAACAGGGACTGCATTACAGGAATGGGGGAGAACCTATGGGAAGAGGCAGAAGATGGAATGTCAGCATGAGGAAGAACAAGTGTGGCTGAAACACGGAGTCAAGTAAAATGAGCTAGCAAAAGGAATCTAAAACCAGATTGTGAAGAGTTTTAGATGACAAAGAAAAGAGTTTGTTGATCCTAGAAGCCAGAGAGAGAGCTCCTCTCATAAATTAGTGAAATGTTCAGGCCTGTTCTTTAGGAATATCATTTTGGCAGCCGTGGAAAGGATGAATTGGAAAAGAGAGAAACTAGACTTGAGAAGAGTTATTGTTGCAATAAACCAAGCGAAAGGTGATGAGGAAGTGAACTAGAATACTGTTGTTGAGTAGAAAGAAGGTGATATATGTGAGAGACATTGTAGAGGCAGAATCAATAAGATCTGGCAACTAATTGGCCATGAGGGATGAGGGATAAGGGAGAATTTAGGATGCCTCTGAGATTGTGGACTTGGGTGATTAGAAAGATGATGGTATCCTCATTAGAAATAGAGGAATTAGGAGGGGCAGCTAGGTGGCACAAGGGGCAGCTAGGTGGCACAGTGGATAGAGTACCACCCCTGAAGTCAGGAGGACCTGAGTTCAAATCCAGCTTCAGACCAAACACTTGACACTTACTAGTTGTGTAACCCTGGGCAAGTCACTTAACCTCAATTGCCTTTAAAAAAAGAAAGAAAGAAAGAAAGAAATAGAGGAGTTAGGGAACTTAGAGAGAAAAGGGAAGAGCACTCAGAACAACCCTAAGGTATACCAATAATTAAGGGGTAAAATATGAGTGGAAACCTAGCAAAGGAGATTGAGAACAAGTGGCCACGATGGACAAGAAAACTTGGAAGACGAAGATCACTAAAATCTATGAAGAAGAGAATTATCTAGGAGGAGAGGATGATCAACAGTGCCAAATGCTGCACAAAGAATTAAGCCCTAGAAAAGACCATTGGACTTGATAACTTTGAAATCACTGGTAACTTTGGAAAGAACAGTTTTAGTTGAACTGAGAAGTCAGAAGCCAGATTACAAGGACTTGACATTTGTGTGAGAAGTGATACTGTAAGTTTTATGAACTGTGCTGATTAGATGGAAGGGTGTTGAGCCCAAATGTTTTCCCTTGGAGGTGGGGAAGTCCCTCAAACACAGAGTAATACTATTAAGTCTGGAGGGCTATATATAGTTCACAGGAGAAGGTGGAAGGAAGAACTTTTTTGATTGTTTAGGAACTTGGTATGAGTCCTCTAGGTTTTCTATCAGGTGAAACAAAGTCTATACTTTAGGAATAGGATAGGATTGGACTGGTGATTTCATTGGTATTGAGAACTCCCAGATGAGGGTATGCCCTGTGCTAATTTGGGTCACCACCTTCTCGGCAACTTAGAGTCTTAGAGAATTACCTGGAGTACCAAAAGGTTAAATGATTTTCTCAGAATCACAAAGCCATTATGTTTCAGAGATGTAGTTGAACCTAGGTTTTCCTGGCTTTAAAACCAGCTCACTATTCATTACACAATGCTGTTAACTGAGAGAACTGAATAAGGGAATGAGGCATTTCCTTTTACAGAGGTGGTATACAGGAAACACTATTGGGTAAAAAACAAAAAGATATCAACAATTTATCTTTTTTAATCTGGGCCTCTAAAAAAGCATCTGAAACCTCACCATTACTCAACAATGCCTGACCAAATGATATCAATATATATCTCTTGGTAGGGAGAAGAAATAAAGCTTTTTGGTCTCATTTTAGTCTCTAATGCTGTTACATTAAAGTCAGAGGCAAACAGATTATAAAGCAGATTATGAGAATGTAAACAGTCTCCATTTAAAAAAATGAATTTAAGAATATTTTAAGTTCAGATTCAGTACTCTGCTTAATAATTTTAGTGATGAGGACCAAAAAGTCAGTATTAAATAAATAATAGCTCTTTTCTGCCAAAACAATAAACTTACCTGTTTAATTTAACTTGCATAATTCCCAACTGGGGCAAAAAAAAGATCTTTTAAGAACTGTGATGGTCTACAGACAACAGACTTGTCTATTTTATTCATATATATATTATAAATATATATAAAATATATAAAATTCTAGAAACACATGCCAATTTGTTTTTTCTGTTGTTCATATGAAATCAATCAGAAGCAGCCTTACATTGGATAGTGAAGGCAACATTTACCCAGATGTGATTTTCTAGAGAATTTATGCATTAATTTTCCTTTTGCAAAACTTATCAACCTTATTAAGTAACTATGTTTTCAATAGCTATTTATTTTGGGGGGGGGAGGAGAAACAGGAGGATTTGAACAAAACTCATTAGTACATTACCAAAATGTAAGCCAGGGTAAAGCGTAGAAAAACTAAAACTCCAAAATAGATGATCAATTGGTATAATATTTTAAATGTAAAAGATATTTCCAATCTAATTACTTCTTTACCTTCACCCTTAAAGGACATAAATTTATATAGTTTCTACCTTGTAATTTAAACTTGTAAGATTTTATTGAAATGTAAAGTCTAATGGCCAAACAGTGATTAGATGCATGTTTTTGAAATAAAGAACTCCATGTTGGCATAGATGCCACAAGTGGAAAGTGTTAATCAATGAATTATCCTAAAGGAATAATCAAGCCAAAGTAAAGTTCTTCCAGGAAAAATATTAAGAGCATATGAACAAGGAAAAAGAAATTTTTTTTCATTCATTTAGTAGTTTTATTTTTTCTTATCAGTGCTTAACATGTTGAGTACTATAAAGTAAATAAATATGCATAAGACCTAGTCTCTGCCTCTTGAGAATTTATAATTAAGAGGGTTAAGATCTGTACAAGATAGGAGAAACTACAAGTTCCATGGAACTTGTACACAAAAAATACACATGGAAATACACAAAAAAATCCTAAAGGCATTCAGGAGGGAAAGAGATCAATTTATCTACAATAGGTTTCAGTTTTCTTAGCTGGAAAATAAAGGGATTAGACCACATGATCTTTCAGAAGGTCCCTTTATGGTCTAATGTTCTATAACTATAACTATAACTATAAGTATGACCCAATTCTAATTTAGATGTATCAGGTTCTCTTAAAAGAGAAGAATGTAATATTTGAGGCAGGCAAGAAAGAATAGAGTTTCAAAAAGCTGGAAGGTATTCTGAAAGTGCCACCAAGAGAATGGTGATCAGGACTGCTTAATGTTAGGAAGTAATGATGTATAATGTTATTGTTGTTGTTTAGTCACGTCCTATGCTTCGTGACCCCATTTGGGTTTCCTTGGCAAAGATACTGGAGTGGTTTGCCATCTCCTTCTCCAGCTGATTTTACAGAGGAGGAAACTGGGGCCAACAGGGTTCAGTGACTTGCCCAGGGTCACACAGCTAATAAAGAGGCTGGGCTTCATATACTTTTAGGCAATTTAATTATTATGTTAACAAGATAGTATATTTCAGTGCTTCAACACATCTGTGTTTTATCCATGTGGGCATTCCTTTTTTCAGTAAACATATTTCTCATTACTATATTGCCCATTTACAAAAATTGACAATTTTTTGGGCCATAAAATCCTCATAAACACATGGTAGAAAATCAGAAATACTAAAGATTAAAAATTAAATATTAAATACTAATCAAAAGACAATAAAATTACATTCTACTGAAAGGCCATTGAAGAAAGAATTAAGAAATCAATGGAAATTAAATGGCTTAATCCTAAGGAATTGATGGATCAATAAACAAAGCATAAAACAGTAGATAATTTCATAAGTGATCAATGCTGTGCACCATTATGACTCTGGAAGACCAGTAATGAAGCAGGTTCTTTTCAAAGTGCCATCTCTTAAACATACATAAGGTGTAGAAAGGTACCTTCTCTTAGGGCAGTATTGAGGTATAGTGATATATGGTTGAATATAAAAAATTAATGTTACTGGTTGTCAAAAGAATATAATTCACCTTCCCCATGGTGTTTGAGAGCTTGGGAAGAGAGACAGTTCCTGAAATCCCTAGTTAAAACTCAGAATGCATTTTCCCATCAAAATAATGCATTAGTTCTTAGTTGAATAATATAATTACAGCTTTAACATGACCTTAATTATACTTTAAAGAGTATTAAAATATGTGGTTCAGGCTCAGATTCTTATAATCTGGCCAATAGCTCACTAGTGTTTAGATTCCTTAAGAGTCTGCCCAATATGACAGATGTTCTAATAAAACCTGTCTTTGGCTGAAAGAAGGCTTGGGTCAAATTCTTTCATGCAGGATCCGCATATTGTGATTTCAGGTCCCAGCACCCCTAAACCTCAACATTTTGGTGGCTCGTACAGGGACAATTGCCTAACCCTAAGTTCTTCTCCAGCCAAGACTGGAAGGTATGTGAGCC